ACACACACACACACACACACACACACTCTCTCTGTCTCTGTCTCTCTCTCTCTCTCTCTCCCCCAACCCATGGAATTGAGAGGGAATCAAAAACAACTCCATCCACATCACAATTCTGCCTAGGCTGACCCTTGCCTTCTCTCTCAAGCCAACACATGCATGCACCACCTTCAGCATTCCTAACTTTTAAACTATATCTAGGCAAATAACACCCATGGGGATGCCACCAACCTGACTTGTCAATAGCTTCACGTGGTTCTACAATGAACTGCAGAGAGGCTTCTTTTTTCCTTGAAGAAACTGGAACTGATTTTGGATGTGATTTCTGGCACTGAGTCTAAAAGAGATACAACATTAGATCTACTCTATTACATTACCAATCCTGATTAAACACATTTGCTTTTAAATTGGAAAAATGAACATTTTTATAAATCTAGACCAGCTGCTAGAGTTGTATACATAAATAATTACTTTGGAAAACAATTTGGCATTATCTAGTCAAGTTGAAATTTCATATAACCTGTCCTAGAAATAGTGCTGCTCTGAAAGGCCAAAACCTATTTGGCAGAATATTTAATAAATAAATAAATAAATAAGGGTATAGTCATATAACATATCATATATACAACAGTGAAATGAATAAATGGTTGTTTTAAGTGCTGTAATTGTTATATTATAAATGATTGTTAACCCAAACAAAAGGAAGCTGCATAAGTATATAATAACCCCATTTAAGTAAAGTTCAAAACACATGCAAAAACATGTAAAACAATACATAAATAATATTCAGAGATACACTCTATGCATGAAGAGCTACTGTAGTAGGCCTGTTACTTAAAGAGCCTGCTTACAAGGTTAGCACTTGTTTGGCATCTGGGGACTTGTTTTCAGAATGTTTCCTCTACCACCAGCTAAAAAGGTCGTGCCTGCTATGCCTGCTTTCCTAGACTATTTGCAGAAACAATGTAATTTATAGTGCATACCTACTTCCTTTTTCCTTCAGAGAATTTAAGAATTTTGTGGGTGGAGGGTGCCTATGTAACCAGCCCCTAATAAGAATAGGCCAAGTCTCAAAAGGCTTCTTTGGACCAAAAAACTACACGTCTTACTGCACTTGACTGCTCGAGGCAACAAGGGCACACTCTGGTGTAACCCCTCTGGGAAGCATAGGAAACCTGACATGGACTCCTCCAGATTCTGCCTGATACATCTTTTTCCTCCACTGATCTAGCTGTGCATCCTGACTATATGGCTGTAACAAACCTCAGTCAAGAAAACAACTACATGATGAGTCTCATGAGTCCTTCTAGTGACAGACCCAGCAAGTGGATGGCAGTGGGACCTGTCACAAGCAGTGAAGAAATGTTGACACAAATATCAGCACACACCTACATGGTAGAACTATAAAGTAAAGGATGGGAATGAAGAACATGGAATTCAATATAGTGGTTACCTTGGTGCAAGGAGGAGAGGCAGAAGAATAGGATTAGAAGGGAGCACAGAAATGCTTCAAAGGTACTGGTATTTCTTGCACTGAGGGACAGGTAGATATGGTGGGTTTTTTCACATTATTTTTAATACCTTATATTTACACATATTCTGTTTTATAAATCTGAAATGTATCAAGTCATAAATTTTAAAAACCTAGAAAAAGGAAATCTCATTCATACATTGTGGGTAGGAAAGAAAACTGGTAAACCATTTTGCAGAAAAATTTGACAATATTTAACAATTTCACTTCAAATGTGCATATCCTAGAGAAATTCAGTTACAACACGTGCACAAGGAGGCATGAACAAATAGATGTTCACTACATGACTGTAATAATGAATAGATGGAAGTAGTCTAAAAATTTATCAATAGGAAATATGTAAATAATGGAGCCACTGCACTGCTGTTCAGTGGATACACTACAAAACTCAATCACATAAAGAACAAAAACAAGTTTTCATTACACTCTGCTCCCTCTTGAAACCTGATAAATGATTTTTTAAAATGTATCCCAGAAGGATAAAAAGAAAAAGGAGATGAAAGATATCTACAATTTTTTTAATTGGAGAGGAGATCATTTCTCAAAGCAACAAATTAGCCAGAAAGAATACCAACATGCATCAACATGCTAGTGATGGAGAAAGCCCAGAAGAAGAGAAGTTTATGTTTATGGAGAAACCATATATCAGTAATTCGAGGTACAAGGCACCTCTAAAAGAGGGGGCCCAGCTGAGGCTTACAAATAGAAAAAGTTATTAGAAGTATCTACAGGAAGTAGTAAGAGTCACAGAGCCCCTCTTCTTCCAACCCTAACAAAAGATTAGATGTTTACTCTCTGGAGTTTCAGAATCAAAGAGACTGAACAAAGTAGCATGAGACAAAGCTGAAGGTAAGAGCAATACATTAAAAAGAGGGACATGAAGTGGAAGTATTCAAACTGCACCTTCTCCTTTGCCCCATCTGGCTAAGAATATCTGTATTCTGACTCAGACTGCCAAGCAGAACAAAATATTTGTCAGTAAAAGAAAGCCACGAAAACAAATCTGCAGATATTAACACTGACATCAGTGACATGGCCCAGACAGATCAAGACAGATCATACCACAATGAAATCTACCAATGTACAAATTTTACTTTGCAAAAAAACTTGCAATCACTTTTAGTTTCCCACTCTTAAACATGTGGAGAAAGCTAAGGATACTGGACATTTGACAAAAGGCTCTAGTGTACACAGAAATGAGCAAAGGGTTAGAGGAACCTAACATCAAGAAGTATTATGAAATTTCAGATCACTAAAGACAGATGACAAAATCATAAAAGCTCCCAAAGATGAAAAAAACAGTCACATACAAAGGATCAAGGAATCAGAATGTTATTTTTAATAACATCACAAGAAGCTAAAATAGAGCATGCTCTTAAAAATCTGAGGGAAAATAATTTCTACACTAGAATTCTGTACCCATCCTAATTACCGATCAGGAAGGTTTTCTATCATAGTATTTTCAAACATTTAAGATCTTAAATTCTCAGGAAGCTACTAAAGAATAAGCCCCACCAAAAAATAGAGACAGCAAGGAAAAGGAAGATTTGAGATCCAAGAAAAATGAGTTGCAATACAGGAGAAGAGAGGGGACTTCCCTGGATAATAAAGGGAAATCATATGGCAACACCTATGTGATGGGCCTAAGGATAGACAGGAACAAAAATCAAAGAGTAGAAAGATCTAAGGAAAAATGTCTCCAGGAAAAAAGTCTGAAAATAATAAATTACTTGGTGTGTCTAAATACACTGAGAAGACAATTATAATTTTGTCACAGAAACTGCTAATAAATTAATCATAGATGCACAGAAAATCAACAAATGGAAAAACTAAGAATTAAATCAAGAGAAAACTTAAAGACAAGAAAATGGTTCAACAAACTGCAGTACATCTATACCATGAAATACCACCCAGCAAAGAAATAATTACTGACACACACAAAAACTTAAATGAATGAATCTCTAAGGATTATCCTAAGTGAAAAAGCCAATTACAAAAAATTATATACTGTTTGACTCCATTTAAACAACACTCTTAAAATAACTAAATTGAAGAAATGGAGACTAGATTAGAGGTGTCAGGATTGAGAAGGGGGTGAGGGGAAAAGAAAAGTGTTACTATAAAAGGACAAATGGGATCCTGCAGTGATAGAACTGCTCTGTATCAATATCAATATCCTGGTTGTGATACTGTACTACATTTTAGCAAGATTACCTTTAGAGAAAACTAGGTAAATGATAATGGTCTTGCACTCTATTATAGCTGCTTGAAATCTGTAATGATCTCAAAACAAAAAGCATGAATTTAAAAAAAAGTAGAGGCTCCCATTAATATCTTTCTATAAAGTAGGTTCTCCTTTTCTCCTTTTAGGCAGATTGAATTGAAACAATCAGATCCTCATTCTCTCAAGAATTGAGCTGGGTCAGTCCGAGATGAAATTTTAGTAAGACTCATTCCACCTGTAGTCCACCCTGTTCTTTAAAAATGAGCTCTCCTGTGTTAACTGACAACCTGATGAGTCTCCTTAGCCCTTAAAGATTGTGAGATAATTCAGTTTAGCCCTTTGGCAGCCTCTGCTTTACTTTTTTTGGCCTCTTCCCAAGACTGCTTCAAAATATGTCATGTGACTGTTTGTGATGGGCCCCTTTCCTGCAGAAGGACAGCAGGACTTTGTCTTAGCATAGTAGACTATGTATTTCATTCACCTTTCTGGCTCAGAGCTCTGAACCACCCCAGAACTTACACAAGTGCTATCCTTCTGAGGAACCTCTGGATTCCAATTTGTCATGCCATCCCTGCACAGCTGAGAAAATCTCTGCTTTCCAACAGCAGACACCCTATGTTTTTGCCTAATATTAGCAAATACTCCCAGGGAAGAAAATTAACAAATGTCAACTCATCTTCTGGGGATTATCTCTTTGGAATTTTAGTTCACCTAGCCCTTATTGCTTCCACAGTAACCCATGCCTCTACAAATATGATTGGTTTCCATTTTACTCCTTTTTTTATTAGCTGTTACAGCAGGAGCGTTGGCCTGCTATAATCTTGTTACATCCTACCTAGAAGTAGACCTTCAGAATAAACTTGATACCAAAGGCCTTTAGAACATTTTGAGGAAAAAAAGATAGTATTGGTCATGAGCATAGACACAAACATCTTAAATATTAGCAAACCACATCAAAACAGTTAATACTTTCTGACCAAGTCAAGTTTATCCCAGGAAAGCTGACTTAACTTTTAAGAAATCTGTACTGATAGAAATCTCTATCTATAATTTATGACATTAAAGGTCTCTCAATTCTGAAAGAAAGTGATCTGTCTTCATTCCTTGGAAAAGGCTATATATTTAATTATTTGTTTTTACAAGTTTCTAAAATGTTATTTCTAGTAATATATCATTTTTCTCTCCAATTAGTATTGTGTTTTTGAATAATTTTTTCTCATTAGCTTCAAAAACTTTATTGGGAAGTTTGCTACCCTCTTAGGATATATAATCACTAAAAGATTGATTCTCCTATATAATAGTAGGTTGCCTTCAGTTTCCACAAAATAACCAAATGTGTGAGGCTCGATTATTCAATAATTGCCCTCTTTCCTAAAAGCCTAATTTAAGTATTATTTTAAAAGTGAAAAATGATTATTATAACTTGCATATTCTAATCCCAGCCCTCTAATTTCAAACAAATCAAACATATCAAATTTTTCACAAAATACTTCCAAATGTTATAGAAAAATCAGTGGGAATATATGACTCCACTTTAAGAATAAGACAACTTAACTAAAATGTACCTAACTATAATGTGTATTGTTTCACTCATTAAAATATTACACCTGTACCAGTTCTCCGTTTTTACTTACCTCTTTGCTTGGTGACTGAATAGACATGTCTTCTTTTTTAGGTGTTGAATACAGCACTGACTTTGTAGAATTTGTGCAATAATCATCAGCAAGACCTAAAAAAGCAAAATTTTTTTAAATGGTATGTGATATAAAATCTTTTGGGTACAGTTAAAAGAAGTTCTACATGATATGTGAAGAAGTTTGTTGACTTTTTAAACACAATTAGTTTAAATGAAGTAGAGACATCTAATCATTATTCAAATGTTCCTAGAAGACATCAGGAATTAATAAAGACAAACAAGAAGAAATATGTACCAACTCTTCTTTCAGAGTTTATATAGAAGAGATACTTCTCCACTACCTCTGTTCATTTCTTTAGTTGGTCTATTCTTAGTCCAATAACGTCTGATGCTGACCAGTACTTCAAAAAGTTTTTGCCAAATTCACCATTCCTTTAGAGAGGGGTGCAAATCACCAAACATTATCTCAAGCTCCAGTGATCCCAAGAATCCTACACATTTATTCCCATTACATGAAATATTTTCTCTTGGATATGATAATTACTTACAGACTTTGAGACTATAGGAATCTAGTGTGAACTAAAGGAATGACAAATTTTTTGCAAGTATTATCCTCAGTGTACCAGAAAGTACATGCAGGTTGTAAATGTACTCAAAATTCCTGGGAAAATACTTCACATTTAAATGTTAGAACATATTTGTTGAATTTGATACTAATGAACATGAAAAATTTATATTTTCATCCATCCCAACCCTCAAAGTCCATCTAGAAATGAAAATTCCTGGGAAAGTATTTCATATTTAAATGCTAGAACATATTTGCTGAATTTGATACTAATGAATATGAAAAATTTAATTTTCATCCATCCCAACCCTCAAAGTCCATCTAGAAATGAAGACTTACTTTTTTCTTCAAAACAGTCTTGTAAAATTTCCAGTATGTTCTGGCCTTGTTTTGTACTAATGTTAGGTGTCCTAATAAGAGGGAAATAAGGAAAATGTTAACCTATCATTTCCAGAAGATACTTGCTACTTGAGTTGTCATCTACTTCAAAAATTCCATACCACCTTATTAAAAAAATGTCAACTTACTTAATGGGAAAAATACCACCTTGACTATCTGAAGAAAAAACAAGTACTCAAGAGTCCCAATGATCCCAGATAAGTAAATAGAGTAGCATGTCACTTTATACACTAACAATTAAATTCCTTGATTGAATAGCCACTCTAAAACTGTTTTAGACTACTGCTGTATATAAACAAGAAACATAAATTTTTCTGAACAAATTCAATCAGTCTTGAAATGCTTCTTTAATGTATAAAGACTCTATGGTCACAAATCCTAATACCTCCAAATAGTCTTCACTACAAGTTCTCAAATGTACTTTTGATTTAATGGCATTAATCTTAACAGCAACTTATGAATCAGTATAAAATTTATATTTAAAAATTGTATTGAGGTAACTATAGATTCACATACAGTTGCAAAAAAATAAAACAGAAGAGATCCCTTATTCATTTTATCTAATTTTCCTCAATGGGAACATTTTACAAAACTATAGTATACTATCACAACCAGGACACTAATATTGATACAATCCATCAATCTTTTTCAGATGTTTCCAGTTCTACATGTATTCATTTGTGTATTTACTTTTGTGTATATTTAGCTCTATGAAATATATCACATCTATATGTTTTGATATCACTGTACTCAAGGTATTCAACAGTTCCAACACCACAAATATCCTTCTATTCCCCTTTTATAAACACATCCACTGTTTCTTCTAGCACCACCAAATAAGTTGCATCTTTCTAGCATTACCATTCAATTGATTCTACAGAGTGCTTTCACCATGGCTGTCAGTCAGAACTGAGATTGCCTCTTCCTGGTCTATCATTTATCAGGGGAATATTTTTTCTCACTGCCACTAAGTCATTACACTGTTTGCATTAATATTTCTGTTAATATAAAAAAACTAAGATGACTACTCTTAGTGGGCATAGAAACCATTATTCTAGTCAGAGGTAATAGTTTTTCCTTTCTTCACTTAAAAATTCCACTTTCTGGAGATGGAAATGAAAATAATTTTATAAGCTTAAGTATATAAACACCTGGAAGGCCGACAAAATCTTCTCCTGTAGTCATTCTTGAGATGATCCTGAAAGAAAAGTAAATCATTAATTTGATGAAAATTTAAATTCTTCATTTACTCATTTATGAAGTATTTGCTAATTGCCTATTATAATACTATAAAGAAGAATTATTCTAGATCAAGTGAAAGAGAACTTGCCTTGTATCTACTGTTTCCAAACCTTTGATTTTATTATTTCCTCACCCTGGGATTTATTCTATCTTTTTCCTCTACCTCCCCCCATACCTTTTTCATCATCAAAACCCTAACTATCTGGGTTTTCCATAATTCAAGTTGGTTGACTAACAGCACTTACTTATCTCCTTTCCCTGCAGGGAGATCCCTCTAAATAATAGTAAAGAACAAAAAATTGCATGAAACAACAATGAAAAAGAAAATGGAAGAGAGGCCTATCAGTGGACAAACAAATGTAATAAATTTCTGGAAGATGAAAAGCAAATGAACTGTGATAACAACTGGTAAAAAAGAATAAAAACAACAGCAGCCTAAAGTAAGCTCAGAGGACACTGTCCTTGATAAGGAGTGAAGCTGATCTGACCAGGAGAAAGTTGTAACTGTGCAGAACTAGAAAACTTTAGATCTGAAAGAGGAAAAGAGTAATAAAGGGAATAAAAAAGAGCAATTGAAAGAAAACCCACATATGGAAGAGTAGGTCCCCACTTCCTCTATTCCCATTAAATAAAGAGCTCAAAAACAATATTCTATTGTTTCAGTCTTAAATATCACCAGCATCTCTTTGGATCACACCAGACATTTAAAAACATATTAAGAGAAGGAAAAATCAAGATATAATTTTTAAAAATGGAAAAGTAAAATGCCCAAGAGGAGACTAGTATCAGGGATGATACAGAAAACTTCCAAAAAAAAAAGAAAATTCTAAAAATTTAGTACCTTCAAGAGATATCTGAGATAATACTAGACTCATAAAACAAAAATGGTATACTATAAACACTGAACAAAGAGAAAGAAAAACTCTTAATGAAAAACACGATTGCCTAAAATAAAATATGTAATAATCATGAAAAACCTATGGATATTGGAAGTGGTGGGGTGGGGTGCAGGGGACACAGGACAGAACAAAGGGCAAATAGGAAATGAAAATGGAAGAAAGAATAAGACAAAGACCCAAAAATCAGCAAGTTCAACTTCTGATGAAAAGTTATTCCAGACAAAACAAGAGAAAGGGAAGAGATACACTCTTAAGAAATATACAGTCCAAGATCACAGGAAGATGGTGGCGTGAGTAGTTCAGTGGAAATCTTCTCCCCAAAACATATATATTTATGAAAATACAATAAATACAACTATTCCTAAAAGAGACACCAGTGGATGTAGTACAACAGCCAGGATACATCTATATCTGTGAGAACTCAACATCACACAAAAGGGGTAAGATACAAGACATGGCCAGGTGGAACCCAAACGCTCCCCCACCCCAGAACCCGGTGGGAGGAAAGGAGTCGGAATGGGGAGGAGTGAAAGCCCAGGACTGCTAAACAATCAGCTCTAGAAATCCACACCCAGAGAGCAGACACAAGGTGCACGGGGTGCTGGATATTAGAGAAACGGAAAAGCAAAACCTATGGGCAGGTCCCGGCAACAGGCGCCCCTGAGACAAAAGAAAAGTGAGTGCTTTCTGCAAGTCTTAAGGAGACAGGGACCCCATAGCTAGACGAAGTCGTCCCGGCACACTTAGCCAGCAGCTGGGAATCCCGGGAAACCTTAGTTGCCCTAAACCCCAGGGAGGGAGTGCAGCTCTGAAGCCCCTCACGACACTAAGCAGCCTGCCAGTCGTTCCTCTAACCGGTGCAGACTCCGACACACCAGCCCAGTAGAGGGAGAGTGGCAGCCCGTGCCAGGGGCGGTGGCGCTGGAAAGGACCAGGAGCGGATCACGTGCACCTACGGCACCAGAGGGGACCAGGAGAGGCTTGTGCGAACCTGCAGTGGCGGCAACCGAACAGCCTGGGTGCGGCTCACGCACACTGGCGGCAGTGGAGCCAGAGGAGTATGAGAGAGATCCGCATGGGAGAGCCCCGCGCGCACCTGCAGTGGAGCCAGAGGGAGCAGGTGCGCTCCCAGCAGCCGACCGGAATCCCAGCCCAACGCACAGCCGCCCAGGCCAGACCCAAAGGCCACTGCTGGCACACAGCTGCCCAGCAGGTGTGCCACTATCAGGGAGGAGCGGACCTGGCGTGCCTGCCACTCCCCACAGGGCTCCGCACAACTCTGAAGGAGACCCTGCCCACAGCAGCTAAGGGGATTAATCCGGTGGCTGCTCAGGGAGTGCGGATAACAGACACAGGCAGCGGAGAAGGGCAAGGCATCCCCAGGAAGCAGGAAAGGACTTTCGTCTCCCAACTGACACACCCGCAACCTGCCAACAGCCACCGCTATCACCATGAAAAGGCAAAAAAATTTAGTCCAGTCCAAGATAGTTCAGACAACACCTGAGAGAGTATCTGCAGAGACAGACCTAACCAGTCTCCCTGAAAAAGAATTCAAAATAAAAATCATAAACATGCTGACAGAGCTGCAGAGAAATATGCAAGAGCTAAGCAATGACGTCCGAAGGGTGATTACAGACGTCTGGAGGGAGATCACAGAACTAAAACAAACTCTGGAAGGCTTTATAAGCAGAATGGATAAGATGCAAGAGGCCACTGATGGAATAGAAACCAGAAAACAGGAACGCATAGAAGCTGACACAGAGAGAGATAAGAGGATCTCCAGGAATGAAACAGTATTAAGAGAACTGCGTAACCAATCCAAAAGGAACAATATCTGCATTATAGGGGTACCAGAAGAAGAACAGAGAGAGAAAGGGATAGAAAGTGTCTTTGAAGAAATGATTTCTGAGAACTTCCCCAAACTGTGGAAGGAAATAGTTGCTCAGACTACAGAAGCACACAGAAC